TCAAACCATGGTGTTTTCAGTTGCTCCCTGTGCATGTTAAACAATGAATAAGGAAAAAGTAAGAAGAACTGATGTCTCTGAACTGCAGTGCTGGAGAAGTGTATGGAATATCTCATGAAATATCAAAAGAAACTAAGAAATGTCTTGAAATAAGTACAAGTAGGAAGCTCCTTAGATACAAGGATGGTGAAACTTTGTCTCACCTATTTTAGGCACGTTGTCAGGAGGGGGCAAGTCCTTAGAAAAAGACATCATGCTTGCAAAAGTAGAGAGTCTGAGAAAGATAGGAAGGTCCTCAATGAGATGGATTGAAACAGTGACTGCAATAACAGCCTTGAACATGGGAGAGGTCATGAGGATGCATGGGATAGGGAAGGTTCCAGTCTGTTATACACAGTGTCTCTACAAATAGTAAGTAGTAAGCATGGCACCTAAAGATAACACCAACCTGAAAGATGAGTACAGGCCAAAGAATTTTTCAGTGACATTTATTCACTGCCTTTTATTACAAGTACAGTGGTAGGCATTAAGAATACAGTCCAAGTACATTCAGAGCTTGCAAAGTCATGTTTCCTCACAAGGCCCTCTTGTGATGCTCCGCCCGAGGGAAATTTTGCCTTAACCTGAAGCCTCTGCAGTGCGTGGAAATTTCCATCAGTTCTCAGTAGTTAACCGGAAGGAAATATGACCAAGCATCTCACATACTTCACCTAGGCCCAAGTCATGGTGAGTTTCAGGAAGGATAGGATAATTGAGAAAGAGGAATGATTGCATTAGGCCTGTTGTTCAGGAAGATCTTAAAGAATGCACAAGAGGCAATTGATGTTAGGTGAAAGGTTATTAATTTATAATGATTATATGTGACTGTAACAATGGGCTCGCAAGTCTCAGATTGTGGGGATGGTGTTGGATAGGGCAAGGGTTAGATCTGTTGTTCATAGAATTGCTGTGAGTCCTAGAGAAAGTTCTGTTAGCCTAGTGGATAGAAAGTGATGCTACCAAGCCAAAGGTGGGTGATTTTAATCTGTGGCTCTCAAGCCTGGTTTTTATTGTTTTTTGTCAAGCATTCTTCTAAGTGGCATAACACTGGTCTGTCCATTTGCTGTACAGAGGTAACTTGTGGTTGCTGTGATGCCAAACACTGTGACACTCATGTGTCAAATGTGATAATGGTTACCCATGGTGGACAGCGTTTGGTGGAGCTCCCCGATTAAAACAAGCTTGGAAGCACTTCTGAAAGAGCTTGCCTCTGGAAATCCTATGAACTTGGAGAAACAATGAAAGTTATAAAAGTGTTCAAGTCTTTTGTTCATAGTGTTGCTATGAGTCATTTATGACTCAATGACACTTAAAAACAACAACATATCAATATAATGACCAGACATATCAATAGTTTTACAAGACAAACTAGAATATATACCTGCAACATATATAAAAAAATGTAGCTATAAACTCTATAAGCATACAGAAATTATATTAGTTATAGAACAGAGTTCAGGTCTTTCGTGCAAGGATTACTGTGGGTATTATTCAATTTGACAACACTTAACCACTGCTAAATGAGACTAGTTTGTTACATCTGGAGGAACATTTTTCCACTTTATGTATGACTCTTTTTCAACATGCTGTATGAAGTAACCTGGGTTTGCTGTGTTGCTGAACCTTGTGCTGTTGGGGTATCAAATTCTCAATGGTATCTCAATGTGGACAGTGTTTGGTGGAGCTCCCAGCTGTAAAACAGGTTTGGAAGCAAGGGTGGCATCCACTTCCTAAACCACATGCCTGTGGAAACCCTATGAACTTGGAGAAAAACCAATAGTTATGGAAAGGCATTAGGTCTTTTGTTTATAGAGTCATTATGAGTTGTGCTCAACTCAATGGCAATCAACAACCACAACAGAATAGTCAAATAAATATTAGAAATTAATAAGCAAAAGACAAAATAATAGGAAAAGTGACAAAAGATGTAAACAATGAGTTCTCTGAATAAGAATTGCAAATGAACAGTAAACATATGAAAAGATGCTTAATCTCACTAGTAAGAATTTATGAATTAAAACAAGATATCATTTGTTTAACCCAATAATTTGGGGGAGATGTGACAGATTGCTAACTTTCAGTAGAGGAAGCAGTGGAAGATTCTATGGCATAATTCTTCCCTTCTGCGTAGGAGACTATGTTCAATTGCTGGCCAATGTGCTCTTTAAATATCTGCCACCTGACGGTTACCATATTTTCTTACGATGCTGTACACATTTTAAGAGAGTGTCCAGACTAAGTCAGCCAAGAAAGAAAGTTCTGGTGATCTACTTCCACTTAGGCTATGAAAATTCTAAGTATTACAATGATCCACAACCCATCATAGAAAATGGCTCAGGATTGCCCCCGGGGATAGTTCACATTGTTCCATTTTGCATGGGGTTGCTATGAGCTGGGGACATACTCAACTTGGTACCTAACAACAGCTGGTTGGGAGGGAGGGAATGCTATTGATGTAAATGTAACTTGACAAATGTAATTTTGGTGAAGGGGGTCAAGCTTGACTGTCCAGTCAATTCTGTAAAATATTTTAAAATATTTATGTTTACTTCTCTATTGGATTTTCTTTATTATATTCTTTTTAGAAGCAGATCATCAGGCAGCTACAGTGTCTCTAAGTAGGTTCAAATTGCCAACCTGTAGGTTAGTTGTCAAGTACAACTGTTTGCAGCAACATGTTAGAGAGCAAAAACCTAGGAAAATAAGTAAAATGGGCAAATGCACCCCATTTCAGAAGCTCTGTATCTTATTACCCACCCCAGAGAAACACACAGATGTACAGGGACAACATAGACAAAGCTACTCAATGAAGTCTTGGTTCTGATCCTTCATGTTAGGTGTCATAGAGTTGGCATAGACTCATAGCTGATTCTCCAGCAGGTTTTCAGAGGGTGCAAATCACACAAAAGATTGACCATCTTTCTCCCTTGAAGAAGCTGGTGGATTCAAACCTCCTGTCTCTGGATGGGCAGTGCAACTCTTTACCCTGGGTGCCACAAGAACTCTCTATTGTTTGTGATAGCCAACTGGAAATAACCTAAATATCCATCATCTAGAATGGCTAGATAGTCAATAGCATTTACATAAAAGAGAACATGAAGGATTTTTTTTTAAAAAAACCTGTTTTTTCATTAAAATAAATAAATTAAAAAAGAAACAAAAACTGTTTTGACTTGGGGGCTTTTTAAAGCAATTGCAGAATAAGTACCACATATTGCTTTTATTATACATATAAAATATTTACATAAAAGTATTCTGCCTACTTTCTATTAATATATTCAATTGGTATGTTTTACAGGTGGAAAAAATATATTCAATAGCCATTATTTTGTTTGCAAATCTTGGAGAGTGGTCTATGGGAATGTATGTGCTTGTCTATGAATTTTTAACTGTTTTCAAAGCAAATTTGTTCATATGTAACTTATGTAATTAAAGAATTTTTTAAAATTAAGTACATGTTAAGTACATTAATTAATTAAGCACATTAAGTATATGTTGACATCAAGGAAAACATATGCCTAGGGTATGTTTTTATCCACTAAACCAACAAGAGTTTTACTCTAGACCCCCACGTGGCACTGGCTTTTTAAGAGACTGAGTAAAAAGAATTGATAAAGAAGCAAATTTTTATTTGAAAAAATTTTGATCAAGATCCTTGCTGGGATGTTTTTGTTACTAAGTCACTGTACATAATTTTTTTTAAAGAAAAAAAAAATCAATAACGTAGGGGGGTTTTCCCAAGGGCAGCTTAGTGCATAAGGAACCGCACTGCCAATCCAAAGGCAGAAGGTTCGAATCCATCAACAGGAGAAAGATGAACAACCTCTCTATGAATGATTTGAACAGCCTCTGAAAACCTGCTGAGGGTCAGCTATGAGTCAGTTCTAACTCCACGGCACACAACAATATAAGAACTCACTCTTTTATTGGATGTTTAAAAAATATTTTTTACTTAAATGAACGTTTACAAATAATTTTGCAATCAATCAACATTTTGTTTGATAACATTAATTAAAATTATAATATCTAATATAATATCTGATCAAACTATCAATAAGCTTTAAAAGTCAGGCATTTGTTTTACTTGTTATTGCTGTTATGTGTCATCAAATTGGAACTAACTCATAGCTGGCCTTACCTCAGGTTTTCAGAGGCTGTAAATAACACAGGAAGAGAAGACTCATCTTTTCTCCTGAGAGCAGCTGGTGGATCCAAAACCACCTGCCACTTGGCTGGCAACATAACTCCTTACCATGAGGCCACCAGACCTCCATTGTTATTATATTAGAAAACAGGAGGGGGAAATTATTAGTAAGTAATGAATTCGCAAGAATTTACACAATGTTTTTGCAACACAAAAATTGTTCACTATAACACCAAATATGTCTATATTAATTCTGTATTGTCATGACATTCTTTTCAAAAAGCATTTACAGAATCAGTGCTAATACATGACAACCAAATGTGGGTCAGGGTACAGCTGAGCTCTCCAGGGTTCTCAGTGCTACTTTTTTCTGGAAATAGTTTGCCAGGCCTCTCTTCTGAGGAAGCTCCTGGTAGACCTTTAGATTAGCAGCCGAAGAAATTAGACATTCGTACAAGTAGGGATTCTCCTGAAAATCTTAGTAAAACTGAGTCCTAGAAGTGAGAATCTGAACTTTTCTAAAGATGTGTTAGAAAATTTCTTTATTAGCACTGAATCTCACTAGTAACCACAGTGCACTATGCTGTAAGTGCATAGAACAGAAACTGAAAGACGAGCATTTTATAGCTATGAAGTTCTGGATTCCTTGAGCTGAAAATGAATTAGAAAATAACGTTCGTAATGTTAAAAATGAAACTAAACCACCCAAGGAAAAGATATTCCTGAAGTAATTGTTTTTTAAAAATTTACCAGTAAAGAGTCTATTAATTGCTATTTCACAACAAAGCATGTTAAAAAGTATTTTTGTAACACATACCCAGCCTCCATTCTGCTTTATCCAGTCTGCTGTGTTATTTGTTATGAACTCAGCAACAAAATAAGAAATCTCCTTGTAAGTATCCACATCTGGGTTAATTCGTTCTCTTAGAAGTTTCTTGATGAGAACACCTCCAAAAGCAAATATGGTCACAATCCGTCCCCAGTTAATGATGCCATCTTCAAATTCTTTCTCCATCACTTGGTGGAATATTATTCTGGCAGTATCTATGGAAACAACATCAAAATTGTCCAAGCATGGCTTCAAATTCTTTTCCACTTCTTTCTGAACGGAGAAAGCAACATTTTGTAGCACTCTAGACGTTTTGCTTGGGCCCGTTCCAGGTTGTGGTATCTGCAGGACGTACTTCAGATAGTCCTGGGCCAGCAGGTAAATATAAGCAAACTCACAGTCAGTCATGACTCCAGCCTGGTGCAGAGCAAAGTCTTGAACTGGTTTGCTTGGAAAGTACTAAGGCAATTTAAAGCACGAGCTCAGAAACCTTGGTGGCTTATGTATGACACATAATGATATCTGGAGGCTGGTGGAATTTCTGTTTGCATCACTTTATCGTATCCTTCCTCCTAATCACTTACATGCGTAGGCTGTGGTGAAAGAGAAAGTTTAAAGGGCCAAAGAGGAAAATGTTTCAAAGAGAGAGGCCACTTCCTCATCCTCTAAGTAGTTTATTCAGCATTAAACTCTTAGACACAGCCCAGTGGTGAGAAAATATCCATGAACACTTTCACCAGTTTGGAGTGGAGACCCTTAGGGAACAGGGAACAAGAGTTTCTCACAGTTGCTCTGAGTCAGGGTGATCTGGGAAAAGGAGAAGAACATCTCTCCCTTTGGTCATCACTTCTTGTCCTAGTGCTGCTGTACCAGAAATACTGCAAGTGGATGGCTTTAATAAACAAACAATTCTTTTCTGGCAGTTTTGGAAGCCAGAAGTCCGAATTTAGTGCTAATTTCAGGGAACAGCTCACTCTGGGTCAACTCTGGAGGAAAGTTTGGGATCTCTTTTATTTCTTTTTTTCTTTGTTCTTCTTTGTTCCCTATTTTGTGTAATTCCTTTTCTATCTCAAAAGAGAGCCTCTCAAAATATGCCTTATACTAATCCTGTCCTACAGCCTAACAAAGACTGCCCATGCCCAAGTGAATTTAGAACCACAGACAGATACAACCCCGCTGCCCTCAAGTAGATTCTAACGCATGTCCACCCTCAGTCAGGTATCTGAGTATGTAGTATTTACAGAGGCAGGCTGCTCATCATTGCCCCATGAAATGCCTGATAAATTTGAACTGCTGACCGTCCCATTAGCAACCCAGTATGTTATGCAGTGTGCCACCAGGATTCCTCAACCATAGGCAGAGAGGTTAGGACCAGGCTGCTCCGTAGAGACAAGGATACTGAAGCTTTGTCTGATATACTTTGGACATGTTGCAAGGAGGGACCCTTGGAGAGGGACGTCATGCTTGGGGGGGGTGGCTGGACAGCACAGGAGAGGAAGACGCTCTATGAACTGGATTGATTCAGTGACTGGAGTAATGGGGTGAGTGCATCGGAGACAGTGAGATTGGCACAGGACAGAGCAGGGTTTAGGGCTGTAGTACGTAGGGTCACTATGAGTTGCAGGTGACTCAATGGTACATAACAACAACAACAGTTAGATGTGCACACATCAATCCATAGCATCACTCAGTTACTCTAGAATTTTTGATAGAACAAATTTTTGCGAGCTTAGTCAGTAAGAAGTTGCACTGCCAATCCAAAGGTGGTGGTAGTGGTGGTGGTGGTGGTGGTTAGGTGCCATTGAGTTGAGTATGATTCATAACGACCCTGTGAATAGCAATCCTGAAAACTGCCCCACCCTGTGCCATCCTTATGAGCTCTGAGGCACAAGAGCCCATTGCTGAAGTCAAAGTGTTAATCCATATTGTTAGGGTTCTTCTTCTCCTTCACTGACTATCTTTCTAAGCATGATGCCTTTTTTAATTTATTATTAATTTCAGTAAAAATTTACAGAGACTTTGGATTTCCATTCATTCATTGTTGCACTTTTCTCCCCTCCCAACCATCTCCCCTAGTACACTATCCTTTTGGAAAAGTAAAAGACAAATTCTATCATTGTTTTACAAACCCTCCCCCAGGTCCACTCCACCATGTAGCCTTTGCTCTAGACTCCTGTCATGACAAAAATACCTAATCACATATTCCTTTCAAACAGTTTTCTCCCTCATCTGTTTCAATGCAGTATACATTATTGAACCCATATTTCTCAGTCTCCCCCCAACCCCGATGTCAGTCCTGTTTTACAACAGTGGCACCATGCAGTATTTGTCCTTTTGTGACTGAGACATTTCACTCAGCCTAATGTCCTCCAGAGTCATCCATTTTGAATAATATTGCATGAGTTCCTTGTTTTTCAGGGCATAGTATTCCATTGTGTGAATATACCACAGCTTCTCTATCATTCGTTTGTTGATGGGCACTTAGGTTGTTTTCAATTCCTTGCTATTGTGAACAAAGCCGCAATAAACATGGGTGTGCATATATCTGCTTGAATGGCAGTTATGGTCTCTTTGGGGTATCTTCCCAGTAGTGGAATTGCTGGGTCAAATGGTATCTCTATTTGTAACTTTTTGAGAAAGTGCCATACTGCCTTCCACAGTGGTTGCACCATTTTGCATTCCCACCAACAGTAAATAAGGGTTCCAGTTTCTTCACAACCTCGCCAGCATTTATTGTTTGCTGTTCTGTTAAATTTTGCTCTTCTGACTGGGGTGAGATGATACCTCATAGTTGTTTTGATTTGCATCTCTCTTAGAACTAGGGATTTTGAACATTTCTTCACGTGCTTGTTAGCCATCTGAATGTCTTCTTCGGTGAAGTGTCTGTTCATATCCTGTGCCCATTTTTCTATTGGATTATTTACCTTTATCTTGTTGTGGTGCTCAAGTATTTTATAAATTCTGGATATAAGTCCCTTATCTGGTATGTCATTACCAAATACTTTTTCCCAGTTGATGGCTTCCCTTTTTACTCTTTTGGAGAAGTTTTTGTTCATACGATATCTCTTTCTAAGGAATAGTTTCACCTAGCTACATGTTCAAAGTATGAAAGATGAAGCCTATTAATCCAAAGGTAGGTGGTTCAAATCCAATGGCTGCTGCTTAGATAAAAGATGGACAATCTCCTCCTGTGCACTTTACAGCTTCTGAAAAGCTCCTAGAGGGTTAGCTATGTGTTGGCTCCTGCTCAAGTGCAATGAGGGTGTTTTGTTTTTTTTTTTAGAAATCAGGTCCAATGTTTGGACCAGAGAATGTGAGACAAGAGAGAACACTAGACTTGGAGGCTGCATATCTAAGCTCAATCCTAGCAAATTCTCCTCTTACTCTGTGTGTGTACTTTGTAAGAAAGATATTTGCTTAAAGGACAAAATGAGGTGATAAATATGAGCTGATGTGGCATTAAAAGAAATGGTCTCTATCAAGCACTCATCACCATGCCTGGCACAAAGCAGGTGCTTACTCAATATTAGCTTCCCATTGTCCTATCATAGATTCTTGAGGAACTTGGCTTCCCAGTCATTTCTTCATCCTAGATGAGTGTGACTTCGTAAGAGGATGATCTCCTGTAAATTGCAATCTTTTTGGGTTGACAATAATTCCGAGAGACAGTTGGTAGAGCTGGATAAATTATTGGCTACAAGCAGCACTGCACATTTAGGGTGGATTTCTAGTCTTCCCACCAGAGAACATGACATTTAAGGCAATTAGCACATACTCGGGGAATGTGGGCAACCATATCCCTCCCTGCTTGCTGGTTGCTTCTTTCTGTTTATTGAAGAGCTGGTGTTGCCAGAAGGCCGATGGGGGAAAGAGTAGATAATTCAAGACCTCTTGAAAAATTTATTTCCATTTTTCCCCCTCCATCCATATATGGACTGAAATAGATTTCTTTTTCATCCAAGCTGGATATCAGATGAGACTCTTAATATTGCACTAGAGTTTTAAGAAACCAAAGCAAATGGAAGAAATCTAGAAATTAAGGAACTTAACAGAAGATTTCAAAGGGTAGCGCAAGAAGACAAATCAAAGTATTATAATGAAATGTGCAAAAAGCCAGAGTCAGAAAAATCAATAGGGGAGAATTTACTCAGCATTACTTAAGCTTAAGGAAATGAAGAACAAATTCAAGCCTCAAGTTGCAAT